CAGTCTCTAATACTTATTCTCGGGAGCTCTGGTAGTGTAGTGCCTAAGGCACTTCACTGCTAACCAGAAGGCTGGCGGTTCAAACCCACCAGCCACTCCTCGGAAGGAAGATGGGGCAATCTACTTCCATAGTGATACTGCCTTGGAAACCCAAGGAGGGGTCGCTATGAGTCAGGTCTGACTCGAGGGCACATAACAACAACAACAACACTTATTCTCATCAATGTTCTCAGTTTGGGATGGAATCAGATCAGATTCTATAGATTTAGGATTTTTGTTTTTTAATGTTGTAAAAATATAGATGATAAAACATTTGTAAATTAACATTTTTAACGTGCACAATCCAGTGACACAAATGATGCCAATCATGTTGTACAACCATCACCAATATCCATTGCCGAAATTTCCATCACCCTAAAGAGAAACTCAAAACTTCCTAAACAGCGATTCCCCTTTTGCCTCTCCCTCCTTCCCCAGGTAATCACTATTAAACTAATAGTTTATATGTTTGCCTCTTCTAAGTATTTCATATTGGCAAAAGCATACAATATTTGTCCTTTTGGGACTGATTTATTCCACTAAGCATAATGTTCTCAAGGTTCATTCATGTTGTGGCATGTATGAGGACTTCATTTCTCTTTAAGGCTGAGTAATATCCCGTCTTCAGAGCACTTTAATGATGGTTTGGTATTTTTCCTTCCACACCCACAGAATCTTTCTTCCTTTGTACTTTTCCATCATTTGTTTTTGCCAGTAGTTGTTAATTAAGAACACTTGAATTTTTAAGGTTAGAGTATATAATTTGATTAGTTATGATGATTATAGAAAAAACAGATCTGAATATTTCAATTTTTACCAGATGATTTGAAAAAAGGCTGAAAATGACTGATTTGTTAACAAGTGAATAATGAGCGCATAGTATTAATCTTCTACCTGGCATTGAAGATGTGGAACCAGAGAGGAATGGAATCAAATTGGTATCAAGTTTGTGATGGATTTAGTAGAAAGCATCTCTTCCAGGGGTTTTTCTGTGATATTGTGACAAACCTGCAGCAGCAGAATGCCGACTCTACAGATTAGGGGCAGGAAACAAAGATTTCTGAAAATACCCAACTCTCCAATGTTCAACTGTGATGATGCAATATCAGCCTGCTCACTCTTTGTTCAGGTAGCAGAAATGTTAGATAATGCTTGTTACTGGTGTTCTTGAAAGAGCATGGGGTTCAGAAACAAGCAATCTGGGGTTAACACTCTTAACCTCCAGCTGAGTTATTTCCAATATAAACTGAAGACGCAAAAATCTCCATGAATCACGAAATGCCTAGTAGAGAGAGGCTTTGTGGTCATCATTATTCCTCCAAGGGTAAACTCTCGATTGCCTGCTATCAACAAACAGTTCTTCCCCCAAGGGAAGCCAAAGGCAAATTAAGCAATTATTTGCTGTTAGTCTCTAATTTGGAGTTTGGGGTTAGGGGACCTTCCCTCCAAAGTCTTCTCTGTGTTTTGTAAGATAGAACCTCAGCCAATGCTCAGGAGTTGTGGATAAGAACGTGTGGATATATCTACCTGCTCTGGTTGTGAACTGGTAACTCTTCTTCCTCTTTCGGGGCATCTTTGACTTAAAGACTATACTTGCTTCATAGGATTCTGGGTTCTAGAGAGAAATGAAGGAACCATCTCAGATTTTATAGATGAAGGTATCTGTGTTTATCACCTAAGGGGCCAGGTGAGAGCAGGAGTATACTTTACTTTCTTCATACTGTATCAGTGGTATGGAATCATTTGGTATGATGGTGTGTGTGTGTGTGTGTGTGTGTGGTTTCTAGTGTGTGATACTGATTCCTAGCATGATCTATCCCTCCTCAAACTAGCCTCATGGAGAGTAGTTTAATTGGAACTGATAATCTATCCAAATTTTGAGAAGATAGGGCAAACACATAATTTTCTCACATTTATCTTTCATTCTCCACTGAATCATGTTGGTTTTTCCTCCAAATTTTATCCCAGAGTTCTTCAATTGTATTCATCTCTATTGCCATAATCCACTTGAAAGTAGATCATATTTTGTACCTGAACTGCTGCAACAGTCCCCTCTCCTATTCCTTCTGATCTTTTTGCCTTACTATGTAATATGTTCACCCTGTAGCCAGCACAATATTTAAAATTTTTTAATCACTTCTTTACATAAAGCTTTTCTTGTGGGTGTTTTATTGTTCTGAGAATAAAATTGAAATTTTTATCATGGAAGAAAAGGTCTTACATAATCTGACTCTTAGATAATTCTCCAACCTCATATCCATCTTTTGCTAACCAAGCTCCTGTATTATTATTATTCTTTAAACACCTTGAGCTCTTCTCAGTCTTATACTTGTTATCCATTCTAAATAGAATGGCCATTTCTAGAATGTTCACATGGCAATCTCTTTCTTGTTATTTATGACTCATTTCAAAGAACCCATTGGAACAAGCTTCTTCACCATCTTGTTGTTGTTGTTATTTGCCATCGAGTCGGCCCTGACTCATAGCAACCTCTCCTTGGGTTTCCGAGGCAATATCACTACGGAAGTAGGAATGCCCAACCTTCCTTCTGAGGAGTGGCTGGTGGGTTTGAACCGCCAGCCTTCTGGTTAGCAGTCAAGTGCCTTAGGCACTATGCTACCAGAGCTCCTATCTTAGCCTCCTGTAATTTGACAATATATATTAAAATGGTAAATGCACATATCTTGCCATTCCATTACTAGGAATTTATGCTATATTTCCCCATCACAAATTAACAATGAACAATGCTATCATTTGTAATATGTTTGGAAATAGGAAAAAAATAGAAATAATATAAATGCCCATCAGTCAATTAATTTGCATATTTATTGTACTAAGCTGGCTATTAACATGTTATTGATATAAAAACTTAATATGTGATTCTCCTCAGATAAAAATATCAAGTTAATAGGATTTTTTTCTTGATGTAAAAATAGAGTTAACGTAGCGGGGATCAGTGCAGGAAACCCTGGATAGAATGGGAGACCAAAGTGGAACAAAACTCAAAATCATTGGGGTGGGGGAAGGTTTGCTGGTCTGATAGAGCCTGGTAAGAACCCTGAGACTATGGCCCCTAGTTATCCTTCAGGTCTGGAACTGTACTCACTTCTGTGGCTGGAAGTCAAACAATAGACAGGCATATTGGGTGAACATTTACATCAGGTAGGTACATTCTTGGGAGCAATCAATCAATCAGTCATGGGACAACAGAAGGGCAGTGTTTGCACAGGAAGACAGCTCAGAGCATGAGACTGCACAGGAAGGAAGGACATAGGGAGGAGGTAACTATGAGGAGGAAGTGGGAAGAGAGCTGTTACACTGTAGGGAATTGCAGTCAATGTCATGAAACAAAATGTGTATGAACAGCTGTATGGAAAATGAATTTGCTCTGTACACTTTCACTCAAATAACAATAATTTGAATAAATAAATAAATAAAAGTAACACAACATTTCCCAATTCATCATTTTTTCACTTGTACAATTCAATAAGACCATTACAAACAGGAATATTAAATGTAGAGGACTGAAGAACTACCAATTTTAGAGATCATGTCAGTTAAGTTGAGAGAACTTGTTGATAATGAAATCATTACTTAACCCCATAGATGACTGATGACTCCTACAGCAAGTCAACTCTCAGTGACCAGAAAATGACCTTGAGATTGATTAGTAGTCCTCATATATTCCATGAATTCTGTTTTTTAGTAGTTAGAACTATCGTGTTCTTATTTCTTATTATTTTGTAAAGGTTGACATATGCAAGTCTAAGACTAATGGACCTGAAGCAGGCAAGTCTAAGACTAATGGACCTGAATCAGAAAGAGAAAGGAATGATAGACAGTACTAGCAGAGTAGAAGAGTTACAAAAATTATAAGAAAAATATCAGGTATGAGTTACTAAAAGCTAGGGTAAGATCATGGGGAAATGATAAGGTGTTATTTGGTATAGTAGGTTTGAAAACACTTATAAAAATCTTCTTTGACAATTCCAGCATGGGCCTGGAAAAGCCAATGAATGAACTTCCTCGAGATCTGAAGACTTGAACAAGAGAACTTTCATTTGAACTGCGGAGAAAAATAAAGTAGGAACTTGGAAGAGAAATTAGATTTTTTTTCTCTCCATTCCATGAACATTTCCATAGAAAGGATGATGGAAGACTGAAAATGTTGAGGAATGAGAAAGAATTTTGTTAAGGAAGGACTGATGGCTATCCTATAAGGTATACCACTAGATCCTGTATGTTATTGACATAGATTCCTGTCCTTAATGTCCTTGCCTTGGCTAGTTACTTATGAAGTTTCTTATTATGTGTGCGAATCCAGATTTCTGGGAGATGTTGAGCAGCCCACTGAATTGTCTTATCCTATGCAACTCATGGAAAAAAAATTAACCAAAAAGTGTGAGAGAAGACTATGAAGAATAGGGCTAAAGGAGGGCAACAGACCAATTAGATTTTCCATTTCTTGTAGTCTGCATTCAGTTACTAACCAAAAGTTTGGTAGTGTGAACCCACCTAGCAATGTCTCAGAAGAAAGGACTGTGACCTGCTTCCACAAAGTCACAGCTTTGAAAAGCTCATGGGGTGTGTTCTACTCTGTGATACATGGAGGCACCATGAGTTGGAACCAACTCTCCAGCAACTGGTTTTTTGTTTGTTGAAATTTTGAAATTTAATGTTCTTTCTAAGAACCAGTTAGTTACCTAGCCTTTCACACTAATTTCTTAATCTCTAGTCTGAACCTGGTCTGATCTGATAAATCATGGTTCCTCCAAAATAGCTTTTGTAGATTTCTAGAGACTATTGCTGACTCTCATTACTGGAACAAAAAAGCATGAGATATACAAGATTTATATACTGAGTAGCCCAAATACATGTTCTCATTCTATGACCATCATAATGATTCCTTATTCCTTCACATTGCCATCTCTTTTCCTATTGACAACTAAAGAGAAGAAGAGGATGAGGAGGGATAATCAGAGCTCCTTGTCTGAATTTCTCCTCCTGGGGCTTCCCATCCGGCCGGAGCAGCAGGGCATGTTCTTCGCCCTGTTCCTGGGCATGTACTTGACCACGGTGCTGGGGAACCTGCTCATCATCCTGCTCATCAGGCTGGATCCTCGCCTCCACACCCCCATGTACTTCTTCCTCAGCCACTTGGCCCTCACTGATGTCTCTTTCTCATCAGTCACAGCCCCAAAGATGCTGATAAACATGCAGACACAGAGTCAATCCATCTCATACTCTGGGTGCATTTCCCAGGTATTTTTTTTCTTATTTTTTGGTTGTATTGACAACTTCCTTCTGACCTCAATGGCCTATGACAGATATGTGGCCATTTGTCACCCCCTCTACTACACCACTGTCATGAGTCAGAGCCTGTGTTTCCTGCTAGTAACTATGTCTTGGGTCTCATCCTTTGCCAGTGCTCTCCTGCACACTCTGCTCCTGGCCCATCTCTCTTTCTGTGGAGACAATACTCTCTCCCACTTCTTCTGTGACCTCTCTGCCTTACTTAAGCTGTCCAGCTCAGACACCACAACCAATGAACTGGTTATCCTCACTGTGGGAGGGGTGGTCATTACCCTTCCTTTCATATGCATCCTTGTCTCTTACGGCCACATTGGGGCCACAATCCTGAGAGTCCCCTCAGCCAAGGGGATTTGCAAAGCCTTGTCCACCTGTGGCTCCCACCTCTCTGTGGTGTCTCTGTATTATGGGGCAATTATTGGATTGTACTTTTTCCCCTCATCCAATAACTCCAGTGACAAGGATGTCATTGTGGCTGTATTATACACATTGGTTACTCCCATGCTAAATCCTTTTATCTATAGCCTGAGAAATCGGGACATGAAAGGAGCTCTAGGAAATATACTCAACAGAAGAACACTTTCCCCATAGTGTACTTTGAATTTAAGCAGGTGGTGTGACTTGTTTTATTTAATAAAATGTTAGCAAACTTATTTAGAATCTTGAAAAGAGCTGTGCATGGCCACTTGGTTTTTGGGAACCCAGATACTACCGTGTAAAGAAACACATTCTAGTCTAATGCAAGACCACAGGAAGAGTGGCTCCAGCTGTCCCAACAATCCTGGCCATACCAAGTGAGGTTCACAGTTGTTAGCGAGACTTTCTAGAACATTTGGCCACAGACAATTCAGCCCAATCTATTACTGCTCAGCTGATCCACAGAACTGTGAGAAAATAAAAATGATTGTTTTAACCCACTATGTTTTGGGCTGGTTTCTTTCACAAAGTTAACTGATACATTTCTTACATTTCTGCAGTATTCACAATCCTTGGTCATTGTGACAACTTCTGAGAACTCCTATGACTCTTGTATGAGGGCTTAAATTCTAAAGCATTTGGGGTTGTTGTCTACAGTGGGAACCCTAACTTCGTTTTGAGGCTTGACAAAAGTTTTAGATGCCACCTGGGTTCTTTCTGACCATTACACCGTCACTGTGGCTATGCACAGACAAGTTCCAGGACAAACCTAGGGAGGGGCAGTTTCCCTTTAGAAAGAGTATATTTGAAAGTAGATTATATTTTCACAAAGGACAAGGGAAATTACACAGAGTGTCCTTTTTTAATTTAAATTAAGGTTGGGGTCTTGATATTGTTTAGTAGCCACCTCATGGCTAAGACTTAGGCTGCATGGTCATGAGTTATAACCTATCGGGACCATTACCTAGCCAGGTAGTCAAGGCCCAGGACCAATCCTGTAACCCTTTCCTATTTTCAAATCCAAATCAGGGTCTTTACCTTGCTTCTGTAGTTCTACCTGTAAAGTGACAAATTTATCTACCACTAATCATGATTTAGGAGTTCTGGTGGCTTGGTGTCTAAGGCATGTGACTGCTAATCAGAAGGCTGGAGGTTCAAGCCCACCAGCCACTCCTCGGAAGGAAGGTTGGGCAATCCTACTTCCATAGTGATACTGCCTCGGAAACCCAAGGAGGGGTCGCTATGAGTCGGATCTGACTCGACTGGAGTGAGTTTTTTTCTTTTCTTTTTTCTTTTTTGGTTTAATCATGATTTTGTGATGATTTAAAATCATATATAATTAGCCATATGGCCATGACTTGGTGGACTCCATTCAGCTTTCTCATACTAATGGTTTCCCTCATCTAGGATGATTGTCTTTGTTTGGTTTTTGTTCTGTCCAAGGCTTAATAAAATTGTCTCTATTAAACCTGTTTGAATGTGGGGTCTCTTTTCCCCTAATAGGAGCTCTGGTGGCCTAGTGCCTAAGTCATTTGACTGCTAATCAGAAGGCTGGTAGTTCAAACCCACCACCCACTCCTCAGAAGAAAAGGTGGGCAATCTACTTCTGTAGTGATACCACCTCAGAAACCCAAGGAGGGGTCGCTATGAGTCGAATCTGAGAACTCTCTCTCTTCCTCTGAGAACAGAGGCAAACTTTGTCTACTCTCGCAAATGCCAGATGGGATAAGGTTTTCATGGCTCCAGAAGAATCTCTTAGTCAAAGACAGGTGGGAGCTGGTGGAAACAAATCCCAGTTACATTATACATTGGGTGGGCCAACCATTTCTCAGAGGTCTGAACCCCAATTCCTCTCAGTGGTAACTTATTGTTACCATACAATATATTGACTACCTACTTTTCCATGTCTTGCATCCTGTGGTGGTTAAGTTTGTGTGTCAACTTGGCTGGGCCTAGTTAAGTGGCTGGGCAGCTGAATGTAGTTATTCCCCATGGTGAGATTGGTAATTAACTCCTTGGTGCAAGCTACTGGAGCAGCTGAATAGCTGCTTTAGGGATGTGGTCTGCTTCCACATATAAGAAACACCTTTGGGAATGGTCTTTTGGGAATGGTCTCCAGCTTATGGCATGCTTGAACCCTGCATGTAGCTGTGTCATTGTTCAGCAGCCTGCTATGCTCTGCTGACCTTGGGACTTTCAATGGACTTGAATTAACGGCTTGCCTTGTGGTTTGGTAACATAGGACTGTGCCTTTTTACTTTTCAGACTTGGGCTTGTCAGTCTCAGCAGTCAGAAGCTGAATGAAGAAAAGCCTCCAGCTTCAGTGGGCCAGGAGCAGGAGGCAGAGCTGAAGCTCAAGGTTGAGGGACTTTCATCCAGCCCCTTTGAACTTGGACTTAAAGCCTCCAAACTGTAAGAAAATAAACTCCTGTTTGTTCAAGCCATCCCGTTGGTGGTATATTCTTGTCAAAGTGGTACTAGGTAACCAAAACACATCTTCACTCTCTCATTGGTTTTTCCTGGAATCATCTTTATAGTAAATGACTTGTATTCAAATACTTTCCTCAGAATTTTCTTCTGAGGGAACCCAATGTAAGACAGTAAGTACAGAAGTGATCCTAAGAAGACACTCAGGAAAGGATTCTAGTTTAGGATCACTTGCTGTCCAGAGAGCAATGGAGAGCATTGCTGGTGTTAGGTGGGATGGTGGCAACTATGGCATGCAGAAGTTGTTATAATTACTAAGATGCTCACCTGAGAAAAATTGGCTTGCTGTATTGGTAGGAGTGAAAACAGGCTTATACAATAAATAGAGCACTATAGGAGCTCTGGTGGTGTAGTGCCTAAGGCATTTGACTGCTAACCAGAAGGCTGGTGGTTCAACCCCACCAGCTGCTCCTTGGAAGGAAGATGGGGCAATCTACTTCCATAGTGATACAACCTCAGAAACCCAAGGAGGGGTCACTATGAGTTGGATCCAACTCGACAGCAGTGCATTTGGTTTTTGGTGGTTTTTTTGGTATGAAAGATATGGGGACATGGTAATTATAAGGCATTTGAGTTGACTTACTGTTGTTAAAGATCATAGATTCCTAAATGAGAAAGAAATAACAATCTCAGGTCAGTCACTTTGTAATTCAGGACAAATTGCAAAAGATAGAAAGCCCATGTAACATTTTAAAAACTCTTATTTTCTGTTTTGGAGGGAAGACTGTGATGAAGAGAAGAAACAAGATTTGATCATATGAGGTTGGCAAATACATTGTCAATGTGGTGACTAAATGCATAACCTCCCTGTGGTAGTTAAGGTTATGTGTCAACTTGGCTGAGCCTGGTTTTTGAATGGCAGGGCAGGTGGATGTAGTTATTCTGCATGATGAGATTGGTAATCACCTCCATGATGCAATCTACTGGAGCAGCTTAGTAGCTGCCTTAGGGATGTGGTCTGCTTCCAGTATATAAGGAGAACTCTTGAGAAAGGTCTCTGCAGCTTTTTGACACACTTGAACCCTGGACATAGACTAGCCTTCATTCAGAAGCCTGCTGTGCCCTGGTGGTCTTGGAACTGTCTCTGGACTTGAACTAGTGGCTTGTCATGTTGTTTGGTAATCTTGGGTTTGTCAGCCTCAGCAGCCAGCAGCTGCCTGAGTGAAGAAAGCCTCTAGCTTCAGTGGGCCAGGAGCAAGAGGCAGAAGTGAAGCCCAAGGTCAAGGGGCTTTCACCAGCCCCTCGAGCTTGGCACCTTGAGCTCAGACCTCCAGCCTTCTAAATTGTGAGAGATTAAACTCCTCTTTGTTAAGGCCATCCATTTGTGGTATTTTTCTGTTAGAGCTGTGCTAGAGGTAACCAAAACATGCTTCTGTTCTACTTCCTAGTTCATTGTGTAGTGTCTGGGGTCTTAAAAGCTTGCAAGCAACCATTCATGGTACAATTGATCTCTATTTGCCTGGAAGTAGGAGAGTCAGGAATAGGAGGAAGAAATGGAATGTGTGTCTAAATGCCTCCATGAACAACTCTGTCCTTTTGCCATGAGACTAGAAGAACTAGAAGTGCCTAACTACCATTACTGAACATTTTGATCAAAGATCCTATCGAAGAACCTTGATCAACAGAGGGGAAATACAGAATAGAATTTCAAATTCTCGTGGACTCCAGACATTCTGGAGCCATGGAAGTTAGACTAATCCCTAAAACTATTGTCCTGAGATACTCTTTAAATCTTAAACTAAAATATTCCCTGAGTCTTCTTAAAACCAAACAATAGTTTATTTAACCAGTAAAGAATGTCTGCCTTGAGCATTGTGCTCTTTTAAGAACTATCTATTTGGAATAAAACTGATAATAGTAACTGAAAGATTAGGTAGGGGATTTAGGGGCAGTGGGTTTATGTGAACGGGGAGGAACAACTCAGAAAAGGAAGGTAATAATAGTTGCACAACTCGAAGAATATAATCAATGTCACTGAACTGCACATGCAGAAGTTGTTGGATTGGCATACATTCTACTGTGTGTATTCTCAATAACAAAATTAAAATAAGATAAATTATTAAAATAAGAATATATAAATATCTCCTACAACATGTTACTAAGACACTCAATAAGATAAGGAACAAAAGACTTAAACAGATATTTTGAAAAAGAAGATAATCAATAAGTGCATGAGTAAGTGTCCAACATCCTTAATCAACATAGAAATGCAAAATAAAATCAAAATTAGGTACTACCACACACTTTGTATGATGTCAAAATGAAAGAGAATGATAACACCAATGGTTGGTACAAAGGTGGAGTTCTTGAAATAGTGTGGGGTTCAGACACAAAAGACCTGAGTTAACACATTCAACCTCCAGCTTGGTTTATGATGGATTCCTTTAATCACATCTCCCAAATGTTAACTGAGAATGCAAAAAGCTTTGCAAATCACCAAATTCCTAGTAAATGCTTTGTGGCTATTATCATTATTCCTCCAAGGGTGAAACTTTACTGAGTACTATCAACAAAGAATTCTTCCCCCAAGGGAAAATTAAGCAATTATTTGTTTCTTGCCTCTAATTTGAAGCTTGGGAGTCTATCCACTGGGGTTGTCTCTGTGGTTTATAAAGTTAGATCCTATATGCACTGCTCAGGAGCTGTGAATAAGAGTGTCTGAATATATGTATCTTGTTTGGTTGTGA